ATTGGTAACACACTACGCCGTGAAGGACTGAAATCCTGCAGCGCCCGCATGGTCCCTCTGTTCAAGAAAGCACATATACAGGCCCGTCTGAAGTGAACATCTGAATAATTCAGAGGAGAACTGGGTGAAAGTGTTGTGGTCAGATGAGACCAAAATCGAGCTCTTTGGCATCAACTCAACTTACCGTGTTTGGAGGAGGAGGAATGCTGCCTATGACCCCAAGAACACCATCCCCACCGTCAAACATGGAGGTGGAAACATTATGCTTTGGGGGTGTTTTTCTGCTAAGGGGACAGGACAACTTCACCGCATCAAAGGAACGATGGACGGGGCCATGTACCGTCAAATCTGGGGTGAGAACCTCCTTCCCTCAGCCAGGGCATTGAAAATGGGTCGTGGATGGGTATTCCAGCATGACAATGACCCAGAACACACGGCCAAGGCAACAAAGGAGTGGCTCAAGAAGAAGCACATTACGGTCCTGGAGTGGCCTAGCCAGTCTCCAGACCTTAATCCCATAGAAAATCTGTGGAGGGAGCTGAAGGTTCGAGTTGCCAAACGTCAGCCTCGAAACCTTAATGACTTGGAGAAGATCTGCAAAGAGGAGTGGAACAAAATCCCTCCTGAGATGTGTGCAAACCTAGTGGCCAACTACAAGAAACATCTGACCTCTGTGATTGCCAACAAGGGTTTTGCCACCAAGTACTAAGTCATGTTTTGCAGAGGGGTCAAATACTTATTTCCCTCATTAAAATGCAAATCAATTTATAACATTTTTGACATGCGTTTTTCTGGATTTTTGTTGTTGTTATTCTGTCTCTCACTGTTCAAATAAACCTACCATTAAAATTATAGACTGATCATGTCTTTGTCAGTGGGCAAACGTACAAAATCAGCAGGGGATCAAATACTTGTTTCCCTCACTGTATGTGTTATTTCATAGTTTTGATGTCTTCACTATTATTCTACAATGTAGAAAATAGTAAAAAATAAAGAAAAACCCTTGAATGAGTAGGTGTTCTAAAACTTTTTACCGGTAGTGTACATCCATGTGCTTTTACGGAGAAAATATAAAGGAGGTCTATGCAACATTTAAGTTTATCGTACATCGTAAAAAAAAAACGATATAGAACTTTCAAAATATATAAAGTATCACAGTATGATGTGTTCTGAAAAACACATCATACTGAGACACTTTCTCTATTTTTTAAGTTCTTTATCTTGAAAACTTGATTGCTGACATCAACAGTGGACTAATGAAAAAAATACCAAAATATAGTTTTTGAGTGGAATTTTCCTTTAATAATACACATATAATGTTGTACATGTAAGTGTAGCCTTTTTAAGTGGTGTTTTTGGTCTAACAGTAACGTTATACTATGATATTATATTTGGTATGTTAGGCCTATGTAAAATACTAATTGATAATTAAATGTCTTGCGAGACACTGATTCAGCTTTGATCCAAACTTTATTAAACAAGCACCATTCTGGGAAGTGGTGGAGCGCCGTTCTGGCACTGGCAGCACCAAACCCATGTGTAGCAGTACTCCAAAAAGCTCCTCATTAAATATATTTGTAATCTTCATTTACAAGGTTCTGGCTGCACTTCCCTTCGCAACACACTATCACAATAAATGTAATTCTACATTTCAAAGGAAAAAACATTATCTCACCTGGGATTCGAACTTGCTGCAAACAGCAAATAGTACCAGGAGCAAGGCTGGCTAAACTGTGAGCTAATTGTCTACTTGACATTACTTGTATGTTTTAGTAGCATTGAATAGCAGATACTGCCATTTGACTTCTGTTAAGAATAGCAGATCCTGCCATTTGACTTCTGTTAAGGACGCTTCCATGAACAAGTGTTGGATCATGTCCAAATACCTATTTTAATTAGCTGATATGGAATTTGAACCAGGATATAATCACAGCCACCTGGTGAGCTTAGCATGTGCCAGGTCATGTCATGGGAACAGCTAACATGTAGCCTTTGATCACGTACAACTACGTCAACTATTTGAATTGGCTGATGCTTAAACTAAAACGTAAACTTTTTCTAATGTTCACAAGTATGGCCCCCAGGTATTTATGCCTTAATATAGCTATGCACATTATTCAGGTGTGATTCATGTGTCATTCTACTCAGTTATGATATTATTCTATTTTTATTGTGTATTTCTGATCTGTTTTTGACATTCACAATATTACTTGACACACATAAACCTCAAAACCTTAACTCACCTCAGTTCCTTTGCCTTTCAGTCTACCTCAGTCACAGAAAAGCAGAGGAGAACACTTTATAGTCTCTCCCCATACCAAAAAACTAATGAACGTACACACACCTACTCAGGACAATCCCATACACACTGTACCCACTAGCCTCACACTCTCACTTCCACTTCCATGCTGACTGACTCTTTAAGCGGGTCCCAGCAGCAGCTTTTAGTGGTAATGCTCTGATTAAATATCTGACATAAGACTTGGGGCTAGATTCTATCAGATCCGTGCTACATCCACATAGCGGTTGTTTTGGCGGTGTTGGAGGTGGAACTGTGTTAGAGCTGTCAAATCCACAAGCTGCTCCTTGAGTTACCTTATCGCGGACACTGCCATTGGATGCAATGAAAGCACACCCGACTTTATATCCAACAAATCCCATGCAGTCACATTAGAAGTTCATGCAGCCGCGTTTTACAAGTTCAAACACTTGAATGCATAATGTTCTATTGTCTAGCCTACACCTCAATTAGACTGATAGGCTATTAATCCCCCCATCCAAATGAACATGAAAACATGCATTAGCCTGTCATTAGTTCTATCATGGATAGAGCCTACACTTTCTATCTCCGTTTTGGACTTCTAACGCGGTAGGGATCATAAGGAAGGAAGTGGTTGGTGACACACAAGAGCAGCCACTCACCGATTAGTCAGCTCATACCGCAGTTATACTGTACCTCTAACACTGCCAAAACATCCCCTATGCGGATGTCGGCCAACGTGGGTTAACACTTGATCTGATTGAATCGAGGTCTTGGTCTATCTACCTGGGTTCAAAATGACTCAATATTTTACTGTTTACTGTAGTTGGTTATTTACTCATGATTTACTCATGACTAAAAATGGTTATATCACAACCTCTGTGAGCCCTTACATTTTTCTCTCTACACTTTTTACGTGAAATACAATTTCATCATTATTTCATGTCAAGCTTTCACTTTCACACTACAGATGTGTTGGATTAACAATCATAACATTAGATGAACTGATGTCAGTGAAGTGTGAGACATTAAAAATAGTGAGATAAAAGTTAACATTTTGTTTTGGATCTTACTGTAATATATTTCTGGAGTGCGTGGACTTGTCCACATGCAATCTTTTTCTAGGGAAAGTCCAAGCGTTTCGTTTTCTGTCAGTTGCAAGGTAGTATGTCTGTGAGTATTTTCCAACCTAGACTCTGTTTTTCTCTTCTTACGTCACCTGTTTGGATGGCATCACTGTTTGCCCTGTGGACTACCTCTGAAATGAGTCTGCTTTGGCCCTCAGAGGGGTGACTGACTGGTTTTTAGCTTTGCTTGTCCCTTGCGATCTTATGATAGCTATGGAACAAATATATCAAAAGGTCCACTCATCTCACTCTGTTCATAACAGCATACTGTATACAGATGTAGGATCTTAATTTGATCACTCTTTTGTTGCTGAGAATTTTCCTGCCCTGCAGGAAATGCAAACTTTTAGTATATTTGAGGTTTAAAAAGGCTTCTAACGTTTGTAATTTCCACTTTGAAATTTCAGACTTGATTTGCCCTAATGAAAAATGTATCAACCCTTACAAAAATGTCCATAAATTTTTATCCACATAATAATTCACATTTCCTGTTGCTGCAAGATTATTTTCCTGCTGTAGCAAACTGGATCAAATTAAGATCCTACATCTGTAGGTAAATCAACCCAAAGTACTGTACTATGTCAGTAAGAGTGCCTCCTAACCTAACCACAGTCATACCTCAGCAATGTCAGGATAGCCACTATCTATATTATAATGACAGTGTTGCTTTATATGAGCTTACTGATATTGATATATTCAGTATAAATATTTTAGGAGTTTATTTCATGTACTTGTTGTTATGCTTTATGTATGAGGGTTTTTAAATATTGAATAGAGTAGTTAGGTTCTCTTATCTTGTAACATCTCCAGTTTTAAGCTGTTTTGTGTTTGCGATCTATCAAAAAGTCTCCCTTTTCATTTTAGTCTTTCATATATTGTATGATATGATTTATTTTTATTTCAAGCCATTTTAACTTGAATACACAACTCAAAAGGCTGTTTTCTAGTTTGCCTCTGATCTGTCTCGCTTCATTGTGTGTTTGCATGAGTATAAAGATGCTACTTGGTCTGTCTGTTACCAATAAAAGGATCACGTTTGTTTGTCATGTATTCATCAACAAATTGTAGCACAATAAGTGGTCGTCAAAATACTGTGGCTTAAATACTCTATGTTTTAGTGTATAGAAACCAATGCAGCTACTTTTTTACTTGTTATTGAGGAAACACACTACTAGTAATACTTTGAGGGCAAAGGGAGAGTTCACATAGAGGCGGAAGTGCTGAAGGACACATTTTGGACGTGTGGGGGTACACAGTATAGTAGTGAACACTAGCTGGGTTACAGTTCCCCAGGCATTGTCCTGCAGCAGTAATGGTCCTCTAGATCTCCTGATGTTTTGTTCTAGTTTTCCAATGTGAAGAACGTCCATCCCCTTGTTGGTCCATGTCTCTAGTCCACCACCATTATGGAAGCAGTTCAACATTTTGCAAAACCGTTTTATAGGAATCACTTGTCAAATGTGGTTGTCTACATTTAGCAGCAAAATACGAACATGTGGAAATAAATAATACATTCTAGACAAAGTTTTCATTAGAGAAGGATGTTGAAGTTCCAGTTCTGCCACCAATATCAGGTTGCAGTTGTAAATGAGAACTTGTTCTCAACTGGCTTACCTGGTTAAATAAAGGTGAAAAAACAACATTACTACAGAGAAAGAGAGCGATCCAACAATGCACCACACTTGGAAGTATTTGTGCAACAAATAACAACCAGTGCAAAATCATTATTCACATAATTTCCCCATATATCCCACCATAGTCACTGAAGACAAGTTATGAACTGTAGACAATGTGGAATTATGAAAATAAGACAACGCTACAACTAAAACATCAGAATTCCCTTATAGCCCACCCTGGAAAACATCCTCCAAACATCCGTATGTTTCCATGGCCTTCAATACAGTTTTCCTTTCTTTCCTGAGCGACAGATCTCCATGATGGGACAGCTTGTCCCCACTCCCCCCCAGTCTCCTCTCATGCATGGAAGACTCTGTTATGCATTGAGAACGTTGGCTACGTCTGTGAAGACCAGGCGACTGGGCCTCTGCGTCATCCCCTGGGAGGTCGTGAGAGTCTACGGGGGGGGGGGGGGGGGGGGTGCAAAAAACGGTATAACTGTGAGACATGAGACACCATATTGCTTTGTACTGCCATGGTCATAAGCAGTTATATCAACTGTTTTTTATTTATATTTTGTAACCAATGAATAATGAATCTGCCACTCCTATGACTGCTTATAACATCTGTTTTAGTGATGTAGCGTTAGGAACAAAGAAAGGGATGGGAAAGTGAATCGATTACTTATATACACTACCAGTCAAAAGTTTGGGGTCACTTAGAAATGTCCTTGTTTTCCATGAAAACATACATGAAATGAGTTTGAATAGGAAATATAGCTAAATGAATAGGAAATGTAGTCATTGACAAGGTTAGAAATAATGATTTTTAATTGAAATAATAATTGTGTCCTTAACTTTGCTTTCGTCAAATAATCCTCCATTTGTAGCAATTACAGCCTTGCAGACCTTTGGCATTCTAGTTGTCAATTTGTTGAGGTAATCTGAAGAGATTTCACCCCATGTTTCCTGAAGCACCTCCCACAAGTTGGATAGGCTTGATGGGCATTTCTTACGTACTATACGGTCAAGCTGCTACCACAACAGCTCAATAGGGTTGAGATCCGGTGACTGTGCTGGCCACTCCATTATAGACAGAATACCAGCTGACTACTTCTTCCCTAAATAGTTATTGCATAGTTTGGAGCTGTGCTTTGGGTCATTGTCCAGTTGTAGGAGGAAATTGGCTCCAACCAAGCGCCGTCCACAGGGTATGGCATGGCGTTGCAAAATGGAGTGATAGCATTCCTTCTTCAAGATCCATTTTACCCTGTACAAATCTCCCACTTTACCACCACCAAAGCACCCCCAGACCATCTCATTGCCTCCACCATGCTTGACAGATGGCATCAAGCACTCCTCCAGCATCTTTTCATTTGGTCTGTGTCTCACAAATGTTCCTCTTTGTGATCCGAACACCTCAAACTTCGATTTGTCTGTCCATAACACTTTATTCTAATCTTCCTCTATCCAGTGTCTGTGTTCTTTTGCCCATCTTAATCTTTTATTTTAATTGGCCAGTCTGAGATATGGCTTTTTCTTTGCAACTCTGCCTAGAAGGTCAGCATCCCGGAGTCGCCTCTTCACTGTTGACGTTGAGACTGGTGTTTTGCGGGTACTATTTAATGAAGCTGCCAGTTGAGGACCTGTGAGGCGTCTGTTTCTCAAACTAGACACTCAAATGTATTTGTCCTCTTGCTCAGTTGTGCACCGGGGCCTCCCACTCCTCTTTCTATTCTGGTTAGAGCAAATTTTGCGCTGTTCTGTGAAGGGAGTAGTACACAGCGTTGTACGAGATCTTCAGTTTCTTGGCAATTTCTCGCATGGAATAGCCTTCATTTCTCAGAACAAGAATAGACTGACGAGTTTCAGAAGAAAGTTATTTGTTTCTGGCCATTTTGAGCCTGTAATCGAACCCACAATTGCTGATGCTCCAGATACTCAACTAGTCTCAAGAAGGCCAGTTTTATTGCTTCTTTAATCAGCACAACAGTTTTCAGCTGTGCTAACATGATTTCAAAAGGGTTATCTAATGATCAATTAGCCTTTTAAAATGATAAACTTGGATTAGCAAACACAACGTGCCATTGGAACACAGGACTGATGGTTGCTGATAATGGGCCTCTGTACGCCTATGTCGATATTCCATAAAAAAAATCAGCCATTTCCAGCTACAATAGCCATTTACAACATTAACAATGTCTAGACTGTATTTCTGATCAATTTGATGTTATTTTAATGGACAAAAAAATTGCTTTTCTTTCGAAAACAAGTACATTTCTAAGTGACCCCAAACTTTTGAACACATATTGCTATAATCACATACATAGCCTAGTCATGTCAATCACAAGGGGAAAATGAGAACATCAAATATTTTATAAGTACATTACTGAGCAGTGAGATGAGTGATAGGCAGTAATGTAATCAACAACTTGATGGTATTAGGCACACAAAGAAGATGTGAAATGAGGGTATAGGTATGTGTCAGTCTCCAGTGTAGAGGAAAAGGTTGTGCATGTGTGTGTGTACAGGGTACTCTGTTGTAATCTTTGAATTTGTTGTATGTACATGGTGAAGGGTTGTAACACAGCAAGGTCCACACGTAGTATGTAAGTGTTTTGGAAAGGGTAGCTTCATGAAAATACAGCAACAGACAAATTATACTTTACCATATTTGACTTATTACCATTTTGACTATTGAAAATATAAAGAAAAAATGTAATTAACATGAGTATAAAATAGCAACTGGTAATGTAAGCACTTACAAAGCTCTGTAAGAGAAAATTATATAATCCTGTGGGCCAACATATTTAGGAATCCAACCAACGATCAGATCCAGTAAGGTAACTGTGGATCAGTGAACAATAGATCCCTGTAGGTGATTAAAGATGAGTCTGAACATAATGTAACTGTTAAGACTTCTGTAGATCATCGTAGATCTACAGTAGATGATCAGTATCATTGAACAGGGGAGTGCAGCCACAGCACTGCTTCAGGCCTGTAGTGTATAGTACCTTGTTATTGGGTCCTGTGAGGTTGCCGTCACGGTTGTGGTCCAGTAGCTCCTGTTCCAGGTCATCCTGTTCCTCTGCCGGGTCAAAGTTATACATGGGCATCAGCTGGTGCCTCAGCTTCTCCAGTCTGGACAGTGAACACAGGGCAGATGGCAGGAGGAAAGAAATGGTTAGAAACACACATTACTGACAGTTCTCTCAATGCTATGATTATTTGGATATGCATGAAGGGCAGCCCTGCCTTTCACAAATCTGACTGATAACTTGAACTCTTATACTTAAATTTCCTCACCTCTTCCGTTTCCTGATATACAGCATCTGGGATGGGAGACATGGTGGGGCACAGGGAGACAGATTGTTAATTAGATAAAAAGGACAAAAGCAACTTGTTCATAATGTACACTGTCATGACAAACTAGGTAGTGACTAAAGCGATTGCTTTCGTACCATGACCAATGCCAGGCCAATGACAGTGATGATGCCAAAGGGCACCAGCACCATGCCCATCCCAGAGCCCTCTAACGCCACCTCTGGCAGCTTGGTGGCATTGAAGCTTGTCTCATTGGTTGTTGTTATAGTAATGGTAGTGGTCATGAATGTTGTTCTGGATGCAGTGACATTGTCCCGTTCCATCCTCGCGTCCGTGGTAATGCCGAGGAGGGAGGTCATGGAGGTGGGGGTCATGCTGGAGACAGTGGAGAGAAAGCTAGCGGTGGTCTTGGCCATGGTCGCATCCATGGTTTCAGCTGAGAGGAAACAGAGGATTGTGGAGAGTTATCTTGTTCCCACGGCTGTGGGTGTCTCAATGTGTCTCTTTTCTGTGTCTCAGTCTCTCATGTGTGTCATAACAGCCACTGGTTGTCTCTCTCTGGACTGAGGTCTGCTGAAGCATTGGGAATGCATTGAGCACACCAGAACACACTCTCCAGGCAGAAACTGAAACAGATAATTTTACACTGTCAGATCGGAAAACAAACATATTATGCACACTACAATAGCATATCATATGGCTCTGGTTTGGTTAGAGGTTGGCTTTGGGTGTGCATGTGTGTGTATGACAGGCCACAAACATCCTTCCTTCCGCAAACGGTTTGGAAAGAGGTTTAGGTGGGTAGCATGTTTGAGGTCTGAGGGACACATACAGTGCATTCGGAAAGTGTTCAGACCCCTTGACTTTTTCCACATTGTTATGTTACAGCCTTTTTCTAAAATGGATTAAAGAAAAACAATTCCTCATCAATCTACACACTATACTCCATAATGACAAAGCAAAAACAGGTTTTTAGAAATGTTTGCAAATGTATTAAAAATAAAAACTGAAATACCTTCTTTACTTTATTGGATATGATTTGGAAAGGCACACACCTGTCTATATAAGGTCCCACAGTTGACAGTGCATGTCAGAGCAAAAACCAAGCCATGAGGTCGAAGGAATTGTCCGTAGAGCTCCGCGACAGGATTGTGTTGAGGCACAAATCTGGGGAAGGGTACCAAAAAATGTCTGGCCGCCTGGCCAAACTGAACAATCGGGTGAGAAGGGCCTTGGTCAGGGAGGTGACCAAGAACCCGATGGTCACTGACAGAGCTCCAGAGTTCCTCTGTGGAGATGGGAGAACCTTCCAGAAGGACAACCATCTCTGCAGCACTCCACCAATCAGGCCTTTATGGTAGAGTGGCCAGACGGAAGCCACTCGTCAGTAAAAGGCACATGACAGCCCGCTTGGAGATTGCCAAAAGGCACCTAAAGGACTCTCAGACCATGAGAAACAAGATTCTCTGGTCTGATGAAACCAAGATTGAACTCTTTGGCCTGAATACCAAGCGTCACGTCTGGAGGAAACCTGGCACCATCCCTACGGTGAAGCATGGTGGTGGCAGTATCATGCTGTGGGGATGTTTTTCAGCGGCAGGGACTGGGAGACTAGTTAGAATTGAGGGAAAGATGAACAGAGCAAAGGACAGAGAGATCCTTGATGAAAACCTGCTCCAGAAGGTTCACCTTCCAACAGGACAACCACCCTAAGCACACAGCCAAGACAATGCAGGAGTGGCTTTGGGACAAGTCTCTGAATGTCCTTGAGTGGCCCAGCCAGAGCCCGGACTTGAACCCGATCTAACATCTCTGGAGAGACCTGAAAATAGCTGTGCAGCGAGGCTCCCCATCCAACCTGACAGAGCTTGAGAGGATCTGCAGAGAATGGGAGAAACTCCCCAAATACAGGTGTGCCAAGCTTGTAGTGTCATACTCAAGAAGACTCAAGGCTGTAATCACTGCCAAATGTGCTTCAACAATGTACTGAGTAAAGGGTCTGAATACTTATGTAAATGTGATATTTACGTTTTATTTTATAAATGTGCAAAAATGTGTAAAAACCTGTTTTTGCTTTGTCATTATGGGGTATTGTGTGTAGATTGGAGAGGGTAAAAAACAATTGAATCCATTTTATAACAAGGCTGTAACGTAACAAAATGTGGAAAAGGGGTCTGAATACGTTCAGAATGCACTGTATGTCAAACAGGATGGGATTTTCATTCTGATTATATAAATAAAGGCAAAGCCTCTGGTCACCTACTGAAATTAGTCAGGTGTGTATCTTGATCTAAAATGCCGACACAAACTGCCACCAAGGTGCATCATCCATAAATACTAAATGCAAAATAATCTTGTCTGTTTTTCACAGTGCTCGTGACATGACTAGAACTTCCCCACGTAAAAGTATGTCTTTGTAGAAGTAGATGAAATCGTATACATAGCATGGTGTTTTGGGCACCAGAAGCAGAGAAAAAAAGTGTCCGAACAAAGCAGATACAATACAGAGGAAAACAAAGGCCCCCATACATGCATCACACTGTCTGAGGCAATGTGTCAAAAGGTCTGTCACCTTCTCTGCTAACTTTGCACCCATATGAGAACTGCACGACCACACACAAACACCACCCTTTATATAGTATGTGCTTATGATGATTTATGAAGCATTTATATAGACTTTACAAAGGGCTTGTGAAGGCTTCATTAAGCCTTCATAAGATATAATTAGAGGGTCAATGTATTGAAATGCTGAATTATGCCATGTACATTTTTGGGCACTAGTATGGCAGACATGAGACACCCTACTATAGTGTCACACAAACCGTGAAAACAAAGACACATGAGCCATCCCGGGTCCCGCACCTCAGAATGCACCTAATGAGGAACATGTGCAGTGCAAGCTCTCAACCAATCAAAACCCAGAGCCAGTCTCAACCTTTGTCACTGTCCAATTAGAGATCAAATACAGTACAAAGAGAGTAAACATAACATTTCCATAATATAACATATTTCTCTCTTATTGTCTTATTCACACCATGAAATGTTGTTGCACATTGATAATTTCTCTGTAAGTCAATGAGTATAAATAAGTTAAGGCCTGGCTTTTAATCCTACCAACGTGACATGCAAGCTCTTGCCTTAAATGCCCTCCCAGATTAGTGGTATATGTTATGTACCTACCTTTCGTCGATGTGGTGGGAGAAGCACTATTAAAAAAAGGAGCCGTAGCAGGCAACAAGATAGAGGAGGGGAAATATCTTAGGGAGAAGGAACGTTTCCCCCTCTCTACCCCTCCTCCTCTTCTGCTTCTCCCTGCTCCTCAGCAGTAACACAGGCAGCCGCTCCACTGACTGAGGGGCTGTTTACAAACAAAACACACTCATTCTCACTGCTGCTCCACTCCATACAAAGCAACCCAACCCCTGGCTGCGTCCAAATAATTATCCGTCTATCTCTCCTTGCCTCCTTAGTTCTGTTCCCCTATCTTTTCCCTTGTTGTGTTTTAGAAAACAGTACAAGCTCCAGGGATGCTGCAACCATAGCCCTGTGATCCAAAGCTCCCATCCCTCCTGTGATAGGTCGGATGGGGTGTAAGCGGCAGCTGCCGTTGGCTCCCTGAGCTGTCCATCTGGCTTTATAAGGATGAGAATGGGATTTATTGGTTGGGCAGACCAGATGCTATCAGGCAGAGAGGGTGGCTGGCCTGGGGAAATTAACCCTTTGATGTCATATCCTCTAAAAGACAAGGGACTGGAGATTCTCAGTGAGGCCAAGGTACTTTCACTCAAGCCCTTTTCATTCATATAGTACCTTTAGGTTGTACAGATTTTTTTGTTGTCATTTATTGGTTGACAGAATGCCAAGAGTGTGCAAAGCTGTCATCAAGGCAAAGGGTGGCTACTTTGAAGAATCTCAAATATAAAATATATTTCGATATGTTTAACACTTTTTTGGTTACTACATGATTCCATGTGTGTTATTTCATAGTTTTGATGTCTTCACTATTATTCTACAATGTAGAAAATAGTAAAAATCAAGAAAAACCCTTGAATGAATGAGTAGGTGTGTCCAAACTTTTGACTGGTACTGTATTTAAGTACATATTGGGGAAGAACATTCTGCAAAAAGGTATCTAAACTGGAACCAAGGCATAGTTTCTGTAGGTATTGTTAGGCTTACTTCAGGGTATTCCACTCAATATATCCCTTGGCCTCTTCGTCAAACACCTTGAAAGCAGCTCGTTGCACAGCATCTTGGTCCTTCGCGCTTTCGTGGACCAATGCCATCAAACCCAGGAAGCTCTCACGGTTAAAAGTACCTTTGCCTGTGATGACACAAAAACAGGTGATAAGTAAGATATTACCACTGGCTATATATAGCTGTGTATAGGAAAACGAATGAGAATTTGACAGCCTTAGTTATACAATTTCTTTGGATGTATTTTGAATACAAAATAAAGAAGAAAGTTAAGGATGTCTTTAACGTTGTTAGTGGAATCAGTATGTATTAGTACTGGGTGGTAGGGAATGCATTACATTCCTAAAGACAGAGATAAACTAGTACTCAGTTCTAGGCATTTAGTTTATCGCAAGTGAATCCCAGTGAAACACTGGCATCTAGTGATGACAAAGAAATCCTACATGTTATGTTACAGTACAATAGTTTTGATTTCTAAGTCTCTCATCCTAAAATTAATCTTCACAGAACAAGTTAATCATTCAACTGTGTGAGAAGAACAGCACCGTTTGATAACATTTTATACAGAATTTGACAGTAGAATACAAGCATTGTAGACATTTTTCGTCAGCTATAAAAGTGAATTGTGCAATACAGCATATCCTTATAATGGTGGATAACATTGTATTAGCTACTAAAATAAATAGTGAGTAAGATCATATATTATGCACATAAAACATATCAATGGTCACATTAAAATGAAGGCCATATTGTGAAAGATATACTCACCATCTTTATCCACATCTTTGGCCATCTGAAGGAGCTCTCTCTTGGTGGGATTGATTCCCATGAAGTTCATCAGTCGCTCCAGCTCCTGTGTCTTCACTGTTCCATTTCCTTCCTCATCAAACATTTCAAAAACACCTTTATACTCAGTGATCTGTTCTTGTGATAAAGCATTTGCTTTAAAAAAAAAAGGTTGAATAAGAATAACTTTTGATGGAACTGAGAAAAGTTCAATCATCCAAATAGTTTATGTGATGTAGGACTGTAACTAACATGCACTCAGATTAAGAAGTTCAAAGAAAGTACTTAACTACTAAATGTTTACGCTCATGCCCAAGGGTCAGTTTTAAAGAAAATGTAATACGCATAAAATATGAGCCCATGTTGACAAATTGTAGAATCCTACAAATTATAGAAAATAGATTAATTATTTCAAAAGGTTACTCACCATTTTGTTTGGTACTAGAGAAATTGACAGGAGATGTACACCGACATGATTCATAGTGAGACTAAATCTATCTTTGACATTACTCAAGAACCTCTGTTACCCTTTCCCCTGGGTTAGGTATAGAAGGAGACCTTTTATGATACTGTATATAGGGGATGGTCTTATACTTTGTCCAAGAGGAATCTATTCTGTAATTGCTGAAACTACAGTGCCATGAGATTCATCACTAGCACAGGTATACATCTGTTAAATATTACTGATTTCTGGCATGCCATTTGTCAATATAAATCCTTTTGATAATAAAAATGAAACATGAATATGATTAGTTTATAGCGCATTCGGAAAGTATTCAGACCCGTTGACTTTTTCCACATTTTGTTATGTTACAGCCTTATTCTAAAATTGATTAAATTGTTTTTTCCCCCTCAACAATCTATACAAGAAACCCCATAATGACAAAGCAAAAGAGGTTTTTAGACATTTTTGCACATTTATTAAAAATAATTAAAAACGTAAATATCACATTTACATAAGTATTCAGACCCTTTATTCAGTACTTAGTTGAAGGACCTTTGGCAGCGATTACAGCCTGGATATGACGCTACAAGCTTGGCAAACCTGTATTTGGGGAGTTTCTCCCATTCTTCTCTGCAGATCCTCTCATGCTCTGTCAGGTTGGATGGGGAGCGTCGCTGCACAGCTATTTTCAGGTCTCTCTAGAGATGTTCGATCTTGTTCAAGTCCGGGCTCTGGCTGGGCCACTAAATGACATTCAGAGACTTGTCCCGAAGCCACTCCTGTGTTGTCTTGGCTGTGTGCTTAGGGTCGTTGTCCTGTTGGAAGGTGAACCTTCGCCACAGTCTGAGGTCCTGAGCACTCTGGAGCAGGTTTTCATCAAGGATCTCTCTGTACTTGTGAGAGTCCTTTAGGTGCCTTTTGGCAAACTTCAAGCGGGCTGTGCCTTTTACTGAGGAGTGGCTTCCACAGCATGATACTGCCACCACCATGCTTCACCGTAGGGATGGTGCCAGGTTTCCACCAGACGTGACGCTTGGTATTCAGGCCAAAGAGTTCAATCTTGGTTTCATCAGACCAGAGAATCTTGTTTCTCATGGTCTGAGGGTCCTTTAGGTGCCTTTTGGCAAACTCCAAGCGGGCTGTACATTTTACTGAGGAGTGGCTTCCGTCTGGCCACTCTACCATAAAGGCCTGATTGGTGGAGTGCTGCAGAGATGGTTATCCTTCTGGAAGGTTCTCCCATCTCCACAGAGGAACTCTGGAGCTCTGTCAGAGTGACCATCGGGTTCTTGGTCACCTCCCTGACCAAGGCCCTTCTCCCCCGATTACTCAGTTTGGCCGGGCGGCCAGCTCTAGGAAGAGTCTTGGTGGTTCCAAACTTGTTCCATTTAAGAATGATGGAGGCCACTGTGTTCTTGGGGACCTTCAATGCTGCAGACATTTTTTGGTACCCTTCCCCAGATCTGTGCCTCGACACAATCCTGTCTCGGGGCTCTACGGACAATTCCTTCGACCTCATGGCTTGGTTTTTGCTCTGACATGCACTGTCAACTGTGGGAGCTTATATAGATGTGTGTGCCTTTCCAAATCATGTCCAATCAATTGAATTTACCACAGGTGGACTCCAATCAAGTTTTAGAAACATCTCAAGGATGATCAATGGAAACAGGATGCACCTGAGCACAATTGCGAGTCTCATAGCAAAGGGTCTGAATACCTATGTAAATAAGGTATTTCTGTTTTTTATTTTGAATACATTTGCAAAAAAAAATTTAAAACCTGTTTTTCCCTTTGTCATTATGGGATATTGTGTGTAGATTGGCTGTAACATAACAAAATGTGGAAAAAGTCAAGGGGTCTGAATACTTTCCGAATGCACTGTATCTAAATATGTTGTTAACCATCAAATGCAGTTGGTTTACACAGTGACATCAGCTGCTCCGAGACTGAGCTGCTCTGAGACCATTAGCTCTCACCTGCTTTCTTTTCAGCAGGTGCTGTGTAGTCCCAAGTGAATCTCTTTAGTACAGCCTTAAGAGCCAAAGGTTATTTCTAATAGTGCAGAGGAGTTCAATTCAACCAAAGAAGCTCCATAGGGAACATTTAGAAATTGCTACCAGTGCATGTGGGTTTACAGTCATCACCAATAAAAAAAAGCCTTAGGCTCATGGATCCTTTGGCAGAATTATTTTTTTACAGGTCTAGAACACTTTTTATGAAGTCTGTGCTCTACTATCTTTATTTTCTTCGTTTTTTATTTATTTATGAGCAGGCCACTCTCCCTCTATCCTAAAAAGAACATAGGAACACTTTCCCCCCAGAAATTCTGGTATTATAAGGGTTACCGTATTTATAATCATATTTTCTGTTTTCCAATACATAAAAAAATATAATACTGAACCGAATTAAATGGCTGCATTATGAGCCTATCTCCTGTTTCTGTAGCGTGAGGCAGCTTGATGTACAAGTACACCCATTGGACAAGACCTAATTTATTGCAGGGCTGTACCCCCAGTCTATCTCATTAATGCTGAGTGCCAAACAGAAACACATCAGGTCCCATTTTTAGTATGACTCGGCAACGGATCGAACTCCAAACCTTCCAGTCTCAGGGAGGTCAGTCTAACCACAAGGCCAGAGTTGGTTGATTTGTTCAAATTAGTTAACCAAAAATCTTTGCAATTCTTCACAGATTCATTGGGGCACACACACACACACACACACACACACACACACACACACACATACATATAGACAGACAGACCCGCCCCCCAAAAAAAAAAAAAACACTGGTGCAGCCAACTTGATCCTTATATTTGTTTGAGTCAAAACATAATTTCCTGTAAAAGACATATGCAGCTGTAGTATAGAATTAATTTTTTTTATCAACTACTGTAAACACATAATATGCCAAGATGAATTATCAATGTATTCGACAATTCATTTGATATTTTGCATTGATTACTAGGCCTACAGTATTTTTCTAAACGAATGCCCAATTTCATTTTGTGCGTATGCGACCGCTGCTGCAGAGCGTGGGGTTTCCCATAGCTGTTTGCAGGGTTACCGCGCCCATCTCGCCGTTCGGTGGCAGGGTGAAGAAGAGAGTGACTACTAAGAAAGGGCGGCCAAACAGGCTTGTATCATAGACTACGACTAAGGGGAAGTGGCTTCTAAATGAAATATAAATCGGTCAAAGACAGTTGTGGAAACCGATTATTGAGATTACCTGTACTTGTGACTGATCTGTGTCCCGTCATCAGCAGGGAGTGGAGTAATTGTTTTCCCGGGTTGGTCCAGGTTGTTGAAAAAACTCGGATTTGGATTTGCAAACTAGCGGTTCACGGGTGTTAGTTGATGCGTGGATTGGAGGTGTACACCGTTAGCTACCTTTTCCAGTCAATGCCAAATAAAAAAAAGCCAAAACCAACTGAGAAAAAGGTAAGGGATTGTGCAATGTTGTAATGCAAAAATACATAGTGGGATTATTGGCCGATTTGTTAGATTAGCCTGCTGCCCGGTGGTGGGGTCGTTGGCTAACGAGCGTTAGCCGAGAGAGCTCTGCGTGCTTTCCAGCTGACCGTGCTAACTAGCTACGTTACGGATCACAATTTCAGAACGTGCATTGAAAGACCGCCATACCGTTAGCTATGTTACAGTATGTATTTAGCTACAATGACTGTACAGTAGCCTACCTATATTTTCCAGCCTGAGTCCTTTGCAGGGCCAGGGGACGTGTTGGACCCATGAGAAACGGACATGGTAGCTAACTAAGGTTCCTGACAGCAAACACTTGGACAAGTCTTTAACCAGCTAATTTAGCTAGCATAGGTACTCAATCAGTTAACTACACCTATATCTACCTACAACAGTGTTGCCCAGCTAGCTTCATTTCCATTAAACATATTAGTCGTGCTTTCTTATCCCTAAAATTAACTGAAACTAAATTTCGAAAGAACCATATTTCATTGTTTATTAAACGTAGTTACTTGTTAGCCGGCTAACATATTTGAGATGACGACCATGGCCTAAATGCAAGCACTAGGTAGCTAACGTTAATTTGGAATCTGAGTTGTCAGTTAGTCAGGCTAGCTAGTTATTTATATTGGGCCCCGATCATTTTTATGGTCTGTGTTCAAATAAATTGAGGCATTGTTAGGTATCCCCTTTTGGTAAAGTATGACCACTTTTTCGACATTACATTTGATTTGGCAACCCACACAGAACGTTAGCTAGCTAGCTATACAGTTAATTAACGTTAGCTAGCTAGATGGCTGTTATAACACTCGCTGCTAGTTGACAAAATCAATTTGTGCCATTTATACCCCACCTTAACCGTAGCACAATTGTTTTTGTTGGCCCTTGTGGTGTACATCTTAATCAAATTAAATGGCTACTGCTGGCTTTAACGACACGGCTACTAGCTAACAAGGTAATTGGATTTTCTTGGCCGGCAACACTCGCTAACTCCTTTTAGGTGCTGGAGTAGCACACGTCCAACACGGGGGCGACAAGAATGCTGGAACAGTATTCTATATTACATTTTGCGGGGTCTTTTCTGTTTGATTCTTGTATGCCCCCTCTTTCTGATAATCCACAGCGCACCCTCCTCAAAACGTCCCTTGTTGGATACTGTAACTAGCTAGTTGGCTAGTGAAGTG